AAATCTTCGTACTCCCCAGGAGCATGATTGGCACACCAGCCATCCTTCTGCTGTGGACTTCATCCCAAGGCACTTGCAGTACCTCTAGCTCCATGTCCTTTTCAGACAAGAGAGGGACGCAGGAGCAAGGTTGGCAGCTGAGTGTACAATATCCAATACAAACAGCAGGGATTCATCAGGAGATGACACTGGCACAGACAGAAGTCTAGCAGTCTCACAGAAAGCTGCCACCCTAACCTATATACTCAACCCCCAAAGGAGCCAAGCAAGCATGTTCCTGTTCAGTCAACACCTTTAAGGAATAAAACAGCATTGCTGGCACAGCGGACGTAAAGTGGTGATGGAGGCCTTCACTCTCATCACATCCTGAACACAAGGATTGTTAGCAGACTGGCTCTTGCTGGCTGGGGATGATGCCCCACCCCACCTCCCTCTGCTCCAAGCATTTTTCCAAAGTCCTTTCAAACATGGCATCCAGAGAGGGACTCAGGGGAAGTAACCAATCAAACAGATAACAGAAATAAAAGCCACAAACCAGATTTGGTGTAATATTTTACAACAGCAGAAAACAAACAAACCCAAATACGAAACATTAATGACACACTAACTATACAACCTGGGGAAGAGGACATGCAGAGGCTACACGTACAAGCTAAGTCTTTACAGCTGACTGCTGAACTGGCTGACGTTGTTGTGCTGGTGACAGGACTAGCAACTGTTGTATCTGGAGTTGTAAGCCCCAGGACTTACTTGCAGCAAAACATATAGGACACTTTTTATCTTCACACAAGAGTAGGAGGTCACTCCCAGTGTTCAGTCATCAAAATGAGCAGAGGTGGATCTTTTGCTGGCCTCACTGGCTTTTTCCAAAATGCTTGTAGTTAAGCATCAACTTACAATATCCCTTAATTTCTGGGTGAGAAAAGGCGCCTTCAAAGGCAGAGATGTGGATTTCCGTCAGTATGAATGTCAGCTGTGGCTCTAATCATGCCACAAGAGTGATACCAGCAAGCTAGCCGAAACTTGAGAGATCTGTCCTTTATCCTTCAAGGCTCTTAGTTAAGACCTTGTTCCTAGAAAACAAATTTATTCATGGATTCATTCATTTACTTATGTCTTCCTTCCCCACTTCACTCTCCCTCCCCCACCTCTGATAGAGTCTCGGGTAGATCAGGCTTGCCCAGAACTCCCAATCATACATCCCAGTCTACACTACATCAAGTGCTGGGATTACAGGGTGTGTCCAGGGACCAGAACCAGGAAAAGGCACCAGAATTTAAAACACACATTCTGAAGGGAATGTATGCATGAACCTTTGAGTTTGATCCCCAGCACTGCATAAGCCAGGCCTGGGGGCAGACCTCCAAACCCATGCTCAGAAAGTGGAGACAGAATAGTGAGAGTTTGATCTAGGTGAACCTTGGTTCCAAAAGTAAATAAAAACCTGTTAGTGTGGCTTAATGGCAGGTAGGAGGCAGAGGCAGGCAGACATTTTGGCTCCAAGTTTGAGATTAGCATGAGCACGATCTACATAGAAAGTTTTAGACTTGTAACCACTCCTTGGAAGTATACTTACATGAGCAAGATAAGGAATATTCAAACACAGTTAATTAAAATTAACCTTTCCCTCAGGTAATTTACAGGTGCCCAAAGCACTGACCTATGAACACACTTGGGGCACAGCATGTTGTCCTCCAGGTGTGGGGGTGGAAATGTGCAGGCCGGCAGCAGGAAGAGGGCAGTCGCTTTCCCCTTCTTATCAGGTACCCAGGCTTGTCCAGCATGGAACTGCAGCCGAACCCAACCACCTGAATTTGCAGGAAGGCTTGTCCCGTGAACCACACACCACATTTCCCCTGTGGAAGCAAAGAGATAGATTTAACATGAACACACCACAGTTTCAGGTAGACGATGCTTCTCTGAAATGCCAGCCAAGCAGTAAGACTGGAAATCCAACCTTCATCTCAATCTATCTTGTTACCTAACAAAAAAAGTATACAAGAGACCTTCAGGTTTTAGAGCTATGTATAGGTCAGTGGTACAGTATTTGCTTTAGCCTGAATGAGGGATTCCAAACACATCACATATATACAAAATAAAACTCCCAGAAAATTGCTGAGTGGTTTAATCCCAGCATTAAGGAGGTAGAGGCAGGCTGTCAGGTTGAGGTCAGCCTGATCTACAGAGCTTAGTTCCAGGACAGCCTGAGTTAAAGAAAACAAACAAAAAACACCCTACAAAAAAAAACCCAAACAAAGGCTGGTGAGGTGGCTTAGTGGTTAAGAGCACTGGCTGCTCTTCCAGAGGTCCTGAGTTCAACTCCCAGCAACCACATGGTGGCTCACAACCATCTGTAATGGGATCTGACGCCATCTTCTGGTGTGTTTGAAGACAGTGTAGTCCATAAAACAAATAAATAATTCTTAAAAAAACAAAACAAAAATCCCAAACAAACAAAAACAAAAAAGTCCCTCTCAGAATATCAAACATGTTTTCACGAAATAGGGTCTAACCGTGCAACTGTGGTGGGGCCCTATAAGTTATAGATCTACCTGCTTTTGTCTCCCTAGTGCTATGATTGATTCCTGACAATAAGAAGCACTCTCAACCTCTGAGCCATCTTTCTAGCCCGAGATTCACCCACATCTATCAAGCTAAGCATGACTTTCCTTTATTGTATTTCTTTGCTATTCTTACAAACACAAACTCCCTTATTATTTTGAAAGTCTCATGTAGCCTGGGTTGAATTCAAACTCCCCATCCTCCTACTCAGACACGGGGATCATAGGCTTATGACATGTTTAGTTACGCTTATTTTATTAAGAAGAAACTGTAAATTGTTAACATCAGCAACTTAACAGATGCCAAGAGATCCCAGTCTTCAGCCTCATACTTCAAATGAAAAATGTAGGAAGGAAGCACACCAAGCGCATGGCTTCTTGCTTGGTGAGTAATTTGAAGTTATTTTTAAAGCGTGACTTCCTGGATCAACAGTCTCATTATTGCCTGAGTAGCTGATAAAAATTCAAGGTAAAAAATGTCGTTTGCCTGTGCTATACTCAAGATTCTTTCAGGCAATTGTAGTACATACTCCAGCACTCAGGAGGCAGAGGCAGGAGGATCCATGAGTTCCAGACCAGCCTGATCTACAGAGTGAGTTCCAAGACAGCCAGGGATACACAAAGAAACCCCATCTCAAAAAGACAATGAAGATTCTTCTCAATGCAAAGGAATACTAGTTCTCAGTCAGGCCCTGCCCCAAATGGAACTCAGAAACAACAGCAGGGGTGAAGGCCAGGAATCACTGGTGGCTGTGACTGATTCTAACCTTTGACTTCCGATGTTGCACTGGACGACACTGCCTCGAACTTCTTAGCATTAGATGCAATTCTGGCCCAAGATGCCAACACTGCCTCAGAGGCGGGTGTAGTCACAACCGTGGTGCTGACTTCCTCATAGAGCATAGGAGGGTCAATGAGGGCAGGTATCTGTTCTTCAGGTACAGTGACAATTTCAAGGGGAACTGTCACCTGAGATTCTTCCCCTGGTTCGGTCTTCATTTTTTTGCGAGATGTCTTCAACCTGGCATCTTTGGCTGAGTCAGGAACATTCAACTTGGGCTAGGGTATTATAGATAATGGGAAACATAAAGAACTGACAGCTCAGAGGGTAAGGCACTCATTGTGAAAGACTTGAGTTCGCATCTCCATAATCCACATATTAAAAAGCTACATGAAGCCGAGCAGTGGTGGAGCGCGCCTTTAATCCCAGCACTTGGGAGGCAGAGGCAGGTGGATTTCTGAGTTCAAGGCCAGCCTGGTCTACAGAGTAAGTTTCAGGACAGCCAGGGCTACACAGAGAGACCCTGTCTCGAAAAAAACAAACAAACAAACAAAAAAGCTACATCAAGTGGCTCACATCTGTAATTTCATTCTAATGCTCCTGTAACAGGACAGGAGGTGAAACCAGAGACTCCTCGCCACCTAGTTTAGTATATCTAACAGCAAGCAACAGAGACTATCTTAAAACAAAGGAGTGACACCGAGGGTTGTCTTCTGACCTCTACAAACTCCCTGTAGCACATGCGCTCCCACAGGCACACACAAAGAAAACTGTGAGCAAGGTGGTGGAAGAGATGACGCAGCAGTTGGAAGCACTTACTACATTGGTTGAAAATGTGGCTTCTTTTTGAATGGTGTGTACACTATTATAACTCTAGATACAGGGAATTCCATGCCCTCTTCTGGCCTGGGAGCACCAGAAGCCCATGTAGTACAGACACACACATGAAAGCAAAACACTTATATAACCTACAGAGAGAGAGAGAGAGAGAGAGAGAGAGAGAGAGAGAGAGAGAGAGAGAGAGAGAGAGAGAGAGAGAGGAAGAGGGAAA